CACCATCATGGCTCACTGAAGCCTCGACCTCCCAAACCAAGCGATCTTTCCGCCTCAGCCTCCCAAGTAGCTGGGACTACAGGCACATGCCACCATGCCCAGCTAATTGTTTTGTAGGGGGTATTTTTTTACAGAGACAGAGTCTTCCTATGTTGCCCAGGCTGGTCTTGAACTCCTGGGCTCAAGCAATCCTCCTGCATTGGCCTCCCAAACTGCTGGGGTTACAAGCATGAGTTACTGCGCCCAGCCCTGTCACTTATTTATGTAATGATCATGTCTATTCATTCTCCCGCTCTTTTAAAAGATTAAGTTGGAATAATTTTTACCAAACTTGAGTTGAAAACAACATTATTGCCCTTGTGAATCCACAGAACATGCTTCCAAAGAATGGCCCTTCATCTCTATCATGCTGTCTGCAAAGTGAAGCTTCGAGGCCCTTTCCAAGTCTCTCTTCCACACGCTTGCTTTCTGCTTGTTGGTTGGCACTTGTATGTCACAGAGTAGTGAATGTCTTTCATGGCTGAGAAATTTTTCAGACTGCTCACCTTTTCATCCCTACACCTCAATGCTAGCATTTAGAATACATTCCAAGCAGTCACTTCAGGTTACGATGGTTTTGTGCCATGAATTCTCCGAAGTCGAGCTGGAGGAGAAGCGTTAGCTTTCATGAGGGTTGAGCCAGCGCTAACAAAGATGCCCCAGAAGGCACGATTATCAGATTATCAAATAATTCTTTAGCTTGGCAAGTGATGAGGAGGGAGCTTTGAGCAGGGAGGGTCTCTGCATCAATCGAGCTACACTAATGTGAAAGTGTGATGGCTTGGTCTGTCACCTGCAGCCCTTTCACTTGGCAGAAAGTTCAGAGGCCCACACGAGCCAGTCCAGACTTTGGGAAGCTGATGGTTTATGGAAGAAAGTGGGGCTTGCATTGGAGGAAGGTGTACTGCGTGTTATGTTGAGCAGGGTGGTACTATTTTTCCAGGCTTGAGTGGAGAACCTAAGTGTTATCTTAGAGGGGTGGAGGGTGGTGTGTGGCCTGTGGCCATGCCTGGCATGGCTTTCCGGGATGGTGGGGAATATTTTAATCTCTTTTGCTCATGAGGCATAGGGATTTTCAGGACCCTAACACAAACTTCAAAGAGCTCTAAGGAAGTCTCAATGTCCTTTTCGGATAGTAATGCAATGTCTCTGACGTCCAAAGGAAGAAAATTCGTCAGTGGAGATTTGAACTAAAATTACTTGTGCTCATCAGCAGTTTTTGAAGATGCAGAGCGCTTGGTTATGAAAATAGAACAAAAATGCACATTCGGTTTGTCCTTAGCACTTCAGGTTCATCATACTCTGAAAAAGCCTGGTTTGGTGCCCAAGTCCTTTGAGGCAACCCTGGGTTGTTGCCCGTCCTTTGAGGATAAGCAACAGCAATGTCTCAGAAAACATCGTTAATGCAACAGCCCACCCACCTGGATTCATTAAGCCCACATCTTTTTTATCTGACCAACAGATGCCCCTAGTTAAGATCCAAATGACTCTTGCAATGCAGGGGTGTTAAAGGAAGGGAGATAAACGTTCTGAAAAGCAGAGATCTGTTTGCTTTTCGGGTTATTAAAGAACCTGGATGGAACTGGAGGTCATTATCCTTAGCAAGCTAACACAGAAACAGAAAACCAAATACTCCATGTTCTCATGTATAAGTGGGAGCTAAGTAATGAGAACTCATGGACACAAAGAGGGGAACAGTAGATACTGGGTTCTACTTGAGAGTGGAGGGTGGGAGGAGAGAGAGGAGCAGAAAAAATAACTATTGGGTACTAGGCTTAATACCAGGGTGACGAAATAATCTGTACGAAAGACTCCCGTGACACAAGTTTACCTGTATAACAAACCTGTACATGTACCTCTGAACCTAAAATAAAAGTTAAAAAAAAATTTTTTTTTAAAGTACACTTTTGGAAAGTTTTAGCTGTGTACCCAGTGATAACACTTACAGTAAGTGGTAAATGTACCTTGTGGCCTCCATGCATGTATTTCTGCCCACTCCTTTTTTTTTTTTTTTTTTTGAGATGGAATCTTGCTCTGTTACTCAGGCTGGAAGGCTGGAGTGCAGCGGCATGATCTCAGCTCACTGCAACCTCTGCCTCCTGGGTTCAAGCACCTCTCTTGAGGTTCTACCACCTCAGCCTTCCAAGTAGCTGGGATTACAGGCACATGCCACCATGCCTGGCTAATTTTTGTATTTTTAGTAGAGACAGGGTTTTGCCATGTTGGCCAGGCTGGTCTCGAACACCTGACCTCAGGTGATCCACCTGCCTTGGCCTCCCAAAGTGCTGGGATTACAGGCTTGAGCCACCCTGCCTAGATTTTCTTTTTTCCAAAATTTCAGTATGTTTTGGGGGAACAGGTGGTTTTTGGTCACATGCATAAGATTTTTAGTGGTGATTTCTGAGATTTTGGTGCAGTCATCACCCAAGCAGTTTACACTGTACTCAATGTGTAGCCTTTTATCCCTCGCCCCCTCCTTCTCTTCCCTCCAAGTCCCCAGAGTCCACTGTATCATTCTTATGCCTTTGCACCCTCATAGCTTAGCTCCCGTTTATAAGTGAGAACATACCATGTTTGATTTTCCATCCCTGGGTTACTTCACTTAGAATAATGGCCTCCAGTCCATCCAGGTTGCTGCAAGTGCCATTATTTTGTTCCTTTTTATGGATGATTATCATGCCGTTATTTCATTCCTTTTTATGGCTGAGAAGCATGCCATTATTTTGGCTTTTTATGGCTGAGCATTCTGTAGACTTAGAAAAGCCTTCATGAGCTGGGTGTGGTGGCTCACATCCTTAATCCCAGCACTTTGGGAGGCTGAGGCAGGAGAATCACTTGAGCTCAGGAGTTTGAGACCAGTCTGGGCAATATGGCAAAACCCCATCTCTACCAAAAAAAATTAGCCAGGCGTGATGGTACATGCCTGTAGTCTCACCTACTTTGGAGGTTGAGGTGGGAAGGTCACCTGAGCCGGAGAGATCAAGGCTGCAGTGAGCCATGATCATGTCACCGTACTCCAGCTTGGACAATGGTGTGAGTCTCTGTCTCCAAAAAATACAAAATAAATTAAATACAAAATAAAGGCTCCATGTGCATTATAAATGTATTTTTACCTGTCATTCAGTTGTTTCCAGTGTTCCAATCTTAAAGGATGCAAATATTCTGCTTAGAGATGAATGAGCTTCTTATGTCGAGTGCTTGGATGGACAAGTGCTCTGCAAATGTTTGTGAAATGAAAGCAAATCCAGGGCATGCAAAACATTATTTTTGCCTGGGATGGTAGGAAAAGGGGTTGTAGGGATTTTATAGGGTTGTCAATAGTTTCTTATATCCTTTTGTTACACACTGTGCTCAGCATGACTAATGTGATGCAGTGAACTTCTAGAGGCTTGAAAAAGAAAGACAAATTTATTAGCATACCGTCCATCTAAGCAGCCCCTTCCTTCTTTTTTGTGATGGAGTGTTGCTCTGTCGCCTAGGCTTGAGTGCCGTGGTGTGATATCTGTTCACCACAACTTCCGCTTCCTGGGTTCAAGCGATTCTCCTGCCTCAGCCTCCAGAGTAGCTAGGATTACAGGTGCGTGCCACCACAGCCATCTAATTTTCAGTATTTTTAGTAGAGACGGGGTTTCACCATGTTGGCCAGGCAGGTCTTGAACTCCTGACCTCGTGATCCACCCGCCTTGTCTTCCCAAAGTGTTGGGATTATAGGCGTGAGCCAGTGCGCCTGGCAGCAGCCCCTTCCTTTTAAGAGACAGTGCAAAAGGAGGGACCCATCAGTGGTCATGGGTTCACAGTGTGGTCCTCACTAGAACTTTTTACACAAGCTTGGATTTTAAAATTGGAGTCACTAATGCAGAGGTTTCTTAACACTTTAACAAAACGTGTGGCGCTCTGGTGTCTCACCAGCCTGATTGGCTGGGCTATGCTGGGTGGGCGTGGGTTCTAGGCAGCCTGATTGGCTGGGCTGGGCTGGGTGGGCGTGGGCTCTGTGCAGCCTGGGTGTGGCATCATCAATTCACAGAGTTTGGGGAAGAGGTGGGCGGCCATGCAGAATGGCTTTAAAGGAAAGGATCAGAAAATAGGGCCCCTCTGGCCTTTTGAGACTCTGAGTGTCCTGTGGTCCCCAGTTGGCAGGTCTAGCACAGGAAGGCTCTACACTTCTGGCATCTCCCTAAGTGCTCAAAAACCTACCTTTAGAGGCGGCATCTTCTGTTTATTTTCTTTCCTTCCTACAAACCTGTAAATAGAACATCTCTTTGGCTCATCTGTAAGCAACAAGAAAAGACCACAGGTTGTATTGGGAAGCACAGGGAATGGAGAGACCCAAACCAGTTCTCTCTTTATCATGTACCAGTTGCTTCCCTTGGATAGAGAACTTAAATTCTTGGATATGTGGCGTGTCTTTTTTTTTTTTTTTTTTTTGAGACAGAGTTTCACTCTTGTTGCCCAGACTGGAGTGCAGTGGTGCGATCTCAGCTCACCACAACCTCTGCCTCCCAGGTTCAAGCCATTCTTCTGCCTCAGCCTCCCAAGTAGTTGGGAATACAGGCATATGCTACTATGCCCAGCTAATTTTTTGTATTTTTAGTAGAGACAGGGTTTCTCCATGCTGGTCAGGCTGATCTCGAACTCCTGACCTTGGGTGATCCACCCAACTCAGCCTCCCAAAGTGCTGGGATTACAGGCGTGAGCCACTGCGCCTGGCTGTGGTGTGTCTTTTTTAAAGAGGTTGGGGGGAAATGAGATTTTCAACACCCCTCCTGTCTAAAGGAGGGTGAAACCAGGCTCTATGAATCATTGAATCAGAACCCTCCCCAGAGACCCAGAGGAGAGATCACCTCAGCAGTGGCTCAGGATGGGCAGGTGAGGTGGTGAGTCAGTCCCTTGTGATGGCGACTTTCCCTGGTATCTGTGTCCAGCCTGTAACATGCGTGTGTTCCTTCCTGAATGTCTTTCAGGTGCCATCAGTTTCCTGCGCTCTCTCCTGGAACCAGATCCTGTGAAGAGGCCAAATATTCAGCAGGCACTGGCGAATCGCTGGCTTAATGAGAATTACACAGGAAAAGTGCCCTGTAATGTCACCTATCCCAACAGGTAATTGTGTGCACTCAGAGGGACTCCTCGGGTGAGATGGGGCCTGTCCTAGGAGCCCTGAGCAATTTTGGACAGAACACTGTCTGTGATGGAAGGAAAAGCCGTGTTCTCTCTTGGCTGTCTCCCCTTCCCCTAACACCCACCCCACACATCCACAAGTGGAAATGGAGACGGGGCCACTGTGTGCACTTGTACTGTGTGCCCTATGGGGGAACCTGGCAGAGAGGTGAGGAGAGTCTGACATCTATCTAGCCTTTGAGGGCCTGTGGCTTCCCAAGGGGGGGGCCTCTTTCTAGTTCACACAAAGGGACTGTTGAGACTAGCTGTGGCCCCAGTGTGTGTGTGTGACAGAAAGAGAAAAAGGGAAAAAGAGACAGAGAGAGTCTATGTCTGCTTGGGTCTCCTTATGCATGGGTGTTGTGTCTATGTGTGTTATATGTTGTGTGTCTGTGTGTAAATTTGTGTGTGTGTATCTGAGTGAGTGTGTGTATGTATATCTCTGTTTTGTTTTTGAGACAGAGTCTTGCTCTGTCACCCAGGCTGGAGTGCAGTGTCACAATCTCAGCTCACTGAAACCTCCGTCTCCTGTGTTCAAGCGATTCTCCTGTCTCAGCCTCCCAGGTGGCTGGGACTACAGGTGTGCACCACTACACCCAGCTAATTTTTATATTTGTAGTATTTAGATGGGATTTCACCATGTTGGCCATGATGGTCTCGATCTCTTGACCTTGTGATCCCCCCACCTCTGCCTCCCAAAGTGTTGGGATTACCGGCATGAGCCACTGCACCCGGCGTCATCTTCTTCTTCTTTTTTTTTTGACACATAGTCTGGCTCTGTCACCCAGGCTGGAGTGCAGTGGCATAATCTTGGTTCACTGCCCTCCCTGCCCTTCTGGGGTCAAGTGTTTGTCCTGTCTCAGCCTCCTAAGTAGATGAGATAAGAGGCATGGGCCACCACGCCCCAATACTTTTGTATTTTTAGTAGAGATGGGGTTTTACCATGTTGCCCAGGCTGGTCTTGAACTCCTGACCTCAAGTGATCTACCTGCCTCGGCCTCCCAAAGTGCCAAGATTTCCTGTGTGAGCCAATGCATCTCACCAGTCTTTGTGTGAGTGTGTTTGTGTGTGTGTGATCTACTCACGAGCTCACCTGCCAACATCAGACAGAATCACATGGGATTGCCCCTCCCTTTGCAAACCTCCCTTAGATGCCTTCTTCTGCCTTGTTTGTGATGTGTATATCAGCTCTAAGTCCCCTGCCTTAAAATGTGGGAGGCAGGAAGGAAAGGCACTAGCAGTCATTCGTCTCAGGCCGGGAGTCCCTGTGGACTTTCCTCGAAGACTTTATCAGTTTCCATGAGGAGGGCTATTTAAGCAAAGCTTGCACACAGGAATCCGCAGCATAGGAGCACTGACCGGCTCCCAGTGGCAGCCACGCTCCTCTATGTTGGTATGCTAACTACAGATTGGAAAACATTTCTCTCTCTTTTTTTTTTTCTTTCTTTCTTTCTTTCTTTTTTTTTTGAGACAGGGCCTCACTCTGTCACCAAGGCTGTAGTGCAGTGGTGTGATTATGGCTCGCTGCAGCCTCCGCCTCCTAAACCCAAGTGATTCTCCCACCTCAGCCTCCTGAGTAGCTGCCACCAGAGGCATGAGCCATCATGTCAGGCAAATTTTTCTATTTTTCTGCAGAGACGGGGTTTTGCCATGTTGCCTAGGCTGGTCTCAAACTCGTGGGCTCAAGTGATCCTCCCGCCTCTCAAGGTGCTGGGATTGCAGGCTTGAGCCACTGCCATGGCCAAAAACCTTTCTTTGTATGTTTTTTCCACTCATCTGTCTATTTCTAACCAACCTGAGCAAGGCAATGAGGGCCCTTATTTTGGCTGATTTCCAGCGAACGAGGAGACCACGTGGGTGCGATCCACTCACGAGCCCACCTGCCAACATCAGACAGAATCACATGGGATTGCAGACCTTCCACGACTGCAACCCACCTTCCTTCACCCTTTAGTCCTAGGGCGGCTTGCACATTTGACCAAACTTGGATGAAGACAAGAGAATCGCTTACCAAGAGGGCAGAGGGGAGACTGAAAGGGCAGAGGAAGGGATGTCCTCCGTGGTCTTGTTTTCAGTGCCTAGGAAGGTCTAGAAACACCGCCAAGCCTTATGAGAGCTGAAATGCTGAGTTCTTCAAAGAAGATGGGCAGGCAGAGCTCTGCTTGGGTTGGAAGTTCTAGAAAAACTTTAAAGGGACGTGGGAGTCTGCATCCACACTACGGTGCCAAATTTATACTCACTGTGCCCAGAGAGGGGGTGATTTCACTCTGTTGCCATCTAGAATTCTAGCATTTGGCTCATGGGAGGTAATTTAAACAAAGTCTAGGTGACTTAGGTTACCAAGGGAACCTGGAAATAGATTGCTGTTTTCCAATAACAGCTCAATGTGGGCCAGGATCTGAAACAGACACCAGAAATACTACCCTAAAGCGAGGCAGAGAGCAAAGCTGAAGGGGCCTTGCCTCATTACTCGTGCTGATGATGGAAAGCAGCACACAGGTATGCTTTCTGCTAAAGGCGGGGGCCTTGGTAGCCACATGAGTCATTAAGCTCATGTAATCACCGAATAAATGAGCATCATCAATCCACTCAATGCGGCAGCTGTGGAAGGAAGCGGAGCTGGGGTTAGAAAGACACTGTTTCCCCTCCTTGTTGGCTGTATCTTCATTCACTAAGAATTACAGGGCAGGCATCTCGTTCCGTAGCTTTCCCGGGGGTTACAGACGGGCTTTGATAGATTAACACTGAAATTCAAACTCCGGTTGTTGCCAGAGTAGTGTGATGGTTTTTGTGTTTGGACTTGGTCAGAAGCATGAGGGCTCCACATGAACCCAGTTAGGTGAACTGTAAAACTGGTTGAGGTCTCCTTGCTCACTAAGGAAAACAGTGCTCAGTGTCTTCTGTATATGGAAGGCCCATTGCTCATTTTACACTAGAGGCAAATCAGTGTTTGGTTTTTAAGTAATGGAACCAGAATTCTTTTTTTTGAAACAGAGTCTCACTCTGTCAGCCGGGCTGGAGTGCAGAGGTGCAATCTCAGTTCACTGCAACTTCACCTCCCAAGTTGAAGCGATTCTCCTGTCTCAGCCTCCCGAGAAGCTGGAATTACAGGCCCGTGCCACCCTGCCTGGCTAATTCTGTATTTTTAGTGAGATGGGGTTTCACCATGTTGTCCAGGCTGGTCTTAAACTCTCGGCCTCAGTTGATCCGCCTGCCGCAGCCTCCCAAAATGCTGGGATTACAGGCATGAGCCACTGTGCTTGGCCTGGAACCAGATTTCTAAGCTACTGGAGGAGGTACATGTGATTTACAATGTTTATTTTGAAAAACCTTTAAGACAAATAAATATATTTTTTATGATTATTTTTCTGGTTTTACTGGCAGGTAGATAAAGGGAGTGAGAACATACAAGCAGAGAAGGGGATATTTTCTTTATAAAGTATGTTTTATAGTTTCCCGACATACATAGCCCCAGATGTCTTTTAAGCATTGTCAATATTTTCCTTTTGGGAAAGTAAAGAAAATGAAGGTGTCATATTTTGTATTGCTTTTGCATAAAGCCTTCTCCTATGAGGTCATTTCAGTCTCCAAGTTGATCTCCAAAAGCAAAGAGGGAGATGTCTTTGGAAGTAAATTTTTTTAAATAAATGTTTATGCCAGTGAGTCAACAGATGTTTGCTAGGTGCCCAGCTCCCCTCCTGATCCAGGTGTAGGCTTTTTTTTTTTTTTTTGAGATAGGTTCTTGCTTCGTAGCTTAGGCTGGAGTGCAGTGGCACAATCCCAGCCTACTGTAACCTAGAATTCCTGGGCTCGAGTGATCGTCCCGCCCCAGCTTCTATAGTAGAAGGATTACAGGCATGTACTACCATCCCTGGCTAAGTGTTTCCACTTTTGTTGCAGAGATGGGGGTTTTGCTATGTTGCCTGGGCTGGTCTTAAACTCCTGCCCCAAGCATTCTCCCTGACTCAGCCTCCTCAAGTGCTGGGTTTCAGACATTTGTACAGAGCCAACCTTTCTGCCTCTTCCTGTCTCTCTGTGGGGGCCTGGACAGTCTCTCCACCCTTGTAGTTAGCTTTGGAACTGGTGGGAGGGGAGGAGGCTGTAGGCAATACAGGACAGAATTAGACCAAATTAGGTCCATGGGATCAAAATGGATTGCATGTGAATTGGTTCAATTCAATTATAGCTAGTATTCTGGAACATTGTACCATTCTCTGTGTCATCCAAACATGCAGCCATGATACAGATTCAATAACAGATACTGGAGAGCACCAAATGTATCTGTTGTTTATTGGAAAACATTGAAACTATTCCTCTCAGTCCAGAGTCAGTTGGCCATTTACATTTTGGCAGAGTTTTTTTTTTTTTGAGACAGCGTCTCACTCTGTCACCCAGGCTGGAGTGCAATGTCATGGTCTTGGCTGGCTCACTGCCACCTCTGCCTTCCAGGTTCAAGCAATTCTTCCACCTCAGCCTCCCGAGTAGCTGGGACTACAGGCTTGTGCCACCACACCTGGCTAGTTGGCCAGGCTGGTCTCAAACCCCTGACCTCATGATCTTCCTGTCTCATCCTCCCAGAGCACTGGGATTACAGGTGTGAACCACTGCACCCAGCTCAGAGCTTGTTTTTGAACATACTGGACATAAAAGGCAGAAACGGGGTGTCTACCCCTGAGCACGTCCCTCCTTTCCACTCTGTTGACCTTTCTTCCAGGACACCTCATGCCCTCTGGGGGTGCCCTGCTCTTGGCAGGGGGTGGGGCTGTGTGAGAGCAGCTGTGGTCTGATTGGCCAGGGTAGAGCCACACCCACGTTGGGATTCCCAGGTATTTCCAAACCACTGTTCCCTCTGTGTTCTGTGTTGATTTGGTAGACCTCAAGTAGTTATTTTAAAAAACAAATACATTATTAATATACTTTTAAAACCAGTAATCATGCCAAGCCCTCTTCCACCTGTTATCTAGAATGTGTAATTTCATGCCAAGAGGAATGAGGAAGGCTGATCTCATAGTTTGTTGGATGTGTTTTTGTTGTATTTAGGGACAGTACTTAGGCAAATGTAGAGGAGGGAGAACCGACGTAGGTTACACCGATGGAACAGTGGTGGGTGATGGTCAGGAGACCTCGTTCTGCTCTCGGTGCCCCTGCCAACCAGCCGTGTGAACTGGCAAGTTCACTTCTTCCACCAGAATTTGCAAAGTCTCCTCTTCTTTATGATGATGGGGCTACACTGTGTGGTTTCTCTGGGCATTATGGTTCTGAGGTTCCATCCAAAATGTTTTCAGACTCCTTGACATGGAGGCTAGTGGCTCTCCAGCCAGACGAGCTTGCCTTCGGCTCCGAGTGCCCTTTTTGCATCACTCTTAAGGGATTTAGAATGTTCTTTTGACACAGCCCCACGACCAACACACACACACTCCCTTAGAGCCCTCCGCCTGATTTCTCGTTCTCAGCAGCCATTAGATGTGTCTGTTTATTTGGGAGGCCGTGAGCGTCTAGACATAGAGCCAGGCTGCCAGTTGTTAATTCTAGGGCTGCTACTCCCTGCCTGTGTGACCCTGGGCAAGATACTGCATTGCTGTGGCTTCGGTTTCTTTATCTATAAAGTTGGGATAATGTTAGTACCTACTCATAGAACTATCAGGATGACTAAGGGAATTTACGTTCTCTTTTCCCCACTGCGAGGGTGAATAAATGAATGGGTAGGTAAATGAAGCCCAGTCTTTCTTTACCATTTTATCCCAAAGGGTTTATTTTCATAGTACCCCTGTGAAGTAGCTTTAACCTGTCTTCCTCTGAGAGCACCCCACTTTGCAGCTGAACCGTGGACCCCCCCCCCATGTGTGAACTTGTGAGCTCTTTCTGTTCCTCGAAACATGATCAGGCTAGTTCCTGGATACTTTCCTTTTCCTCCCCAAAACCAGAGTCAGGATGCCTTCAGTCCATGGCAATAAATACATTTTTTTTCTTTTTTTTTGAGACAGAGTTTTGCTCTTGTTGCCCAGGCTGGGATGCAAGGCAACGATCTCCACTCACTGCAACCTCCGCCTCCTGGGTTCAAGTGATCCTCCTGTCTCACCCTCCTGAGTAGCTGGATTACAGGCATGTGCCACCACACCCAGCAAATTTTTGTATTCTTAGTAGAGACCAGGGTTTCATCATATTGGTCAAGCTGGTGTCAAACTCCTGACCTCAGGTGATCCTCTTGCCTCGACCTCCCAAAGTGCTGAGATTACAGGCATGAGCCACCATGCCTGGGCAACAAATACATTTTAAGGAAAGGAATGTGTGATCATAAAGAAATTAGGGAAAAACTTGGGGGATTTGAATATAATCTGGGTATTAGATGGTATTAAGTGATTGTTAAAATTTTATTGGGTATGTTGATGGTTTTGTGGTTCTGTGGGGGACATCTTTGGTTTTTGAAGGTGCACACTGAAGTGTTAATTGGTAAAAAGTCATAATGTTTCCCTCCCTGTGCCCATGTTTTCTCATTGTTCAACACCCGCCTATGAGTGAACATGCGGCGTTTGGTTTCCTCTCCTTCTATGAGTTTGCTGAGAATGATGGTTTCCAGATTCATCCATGTCCCTACAAAGGACACGTCCCTTGTTTTTTATGGCTGCACAGTATTCCAGGGAGGGGAACATCACACACTGGGGTCTGTTGAGGGTTGGGGGACTAAGGGATGGACAGCCGGGGGCAGGGAGGCTGGGTAGGGAAAACACTGGGAGAAATGCCTGATGTAGGTGATGGGGGGCGGGGGGCAGGGGTGGATGGAGACTGCAAACCACCTTGGCATCACCCGCGGGAGGTGCGCATGTACCCCAGACCTTAAAGTACAATTTTTAAAAATGTCATGATGTTTGTAATTTTAAATACTTCAGGAAAAAAAAATGCAAGTATGGCACAGTGCTCACTGGTACATCCAGATGATGACGTACATAAAGTGATTGCATTATTCCCCCCCTTTTCTGAATACATGAACATTTTCAAAATAAAACATCAAATAAATGAATGAATGAAGCTGACTGTGCACAGGGGGCCGGCATGAGCCACTCCGTGACGTGCAGAGGTGACTGGTCCTCTCTCTCTGCACCTGGCAGGATCTCCCTGGAAGACCTGAGCCCGAGCGTTGTGCTACACATGACCGAGAAGCTGGGTTACAAGAACAGCGACGTGATCAACACTGTGCTCTCCAACCGCGCCTGCCACATCCTGGCCATCTACTTCCTCCTAAACAAGAAACTGGAGCGCTATTTGTCAGGGGTAAGTGTCAGGGGTAACCTGCTTCTCAGGGAGCACCTTTTATCTGCAATGGTTTTCAAATGCTCTCCCACTGAGTTAAGCCCTGGGCAGAATTGAGGAGGGTGTTCAAGCCTCTTTCTCCTTCAGCTTCTCTGTTGCCTTTTTAAATTGTTGTTGTTCTGCTGCCTCTTAGCTCTTTGGGTTCCCCACGTTGGAGGCATTGGAGGCTTTTCTGGTCATAAAACTCAGGTAGCAGTGCCTCTCGGGCGTTTGTCTCTAACATATAGTATTATACGTGAGAAAGTCACTATTTAGGTTTAACTTCTCCAGAAAATAAGAACAAAATTGGGCTTCTCTGTCCTGACTCTGGCACCTGCCCTCGGCCTGGGTGTCAGAAAGTCCACATGTCCGGTGTCACTTGCCAGGTACACCTGGGAATTCCACAGCATGGGGTGGCTGGTTGGACTCTGACACCTTGTCCCGTTCATCATTTATGCCACAGGCAGTTTCTGTGTGCCCGAGTAAGGGAATTTACGTTCCTTAGTTGTGACCAAATCGTCTCTCTCCAAATGGACAATGGCTTAAAAAAGAATCCTGCAGGCCAGGTGTGGTGGCTCACGCCTGTAATCCCAACACTTTGGGAAGCTGAGGTGGGTGGATCACCTGAGGTCACTGAGGTCAGGAGTTCGAGACCAACTTGGCCAACATGGTGAAACCCTGTCTTTACTAAAAATACAAAAATTAGCTGGGCATGGTGGCGGGTGCCGGTAGTCCCAGCTACTTGGGCGGCTGAGGCAGGAGAATCGTTTGAACTTAGGAGGTGGAAGTTGCAGTGAGCCGAGATTGCACCACTACACTCCAACCTAGGCAACAAAGAGCAAAACTTCATCTCAAAAAAAAAAAAAAAGAAAAAAGAAGAATCCTGCAAATTGGATCCAAGACAATATGGATTCTTTATACAACAGCTCATGCTTTTATTTAGAATGGTGGGTGCTGACCAGCTCTAACAAGGAGTCAGCTGAAGAAATTCAGAACAGGAAGCCTATCTGAAATTTGAGTGTTCGCTTTTGTGAAGGGCCACCTTCACCGTGGCCTCTTGCACCTTGACATCTGATGGCGTGGAGTTGTCACTGTTAGGAAGACATTTGCCATCCAGAGCACCTGCTATTTGAAGTCATGTGATAGCCCAATATGTCACCAAATTGTACCAGGCAATAGGCTTAGAAACCCTTTTGAGGTTTCTGTATTAGAGTTAAGATGAAACTCTACCTGCAGTTGGGGAAATGATATTCTCCCTGGCCTGGTGGAGATGACCAAATTAATACCCAGAGGACAAGGTGGTCAGTGTGTGTCTTTTGTTAGCAAATCAATTTGGGTGCCGTCTAGAAAACATTGCTGAACATATGAAGAGGCTCCATGGGAGGTTGGTTAAACATTTGGATGAAAGTACAGATGTTTCTAAGCTGATTTAGCTCAGAATATTGGCTAGATTTTGCTTCAGCAGGAAATTATCCACAGAACTCCTTTGTGTGTGTGTGTGTGTGTGTGTGTGTGTGTGTGTGAACTACCAAGGGAAAGATCTACATGAGAAGAAATAAAAGGCTTTAACAGTGTTTTATGGGGGAAAAAAACGTGTTCTGTGTGATGGGGTGGCACCTCTCTGATGGGGACAGTCACAGCTTTGAGTTAATTTCACAGATGGTGTCACTGTGGCTGCCTTGCTCATAGAAAGCTACTGAAGAAGAGACATCAGATCTAGAAAGGGCTTTCAAAATGTAATATATTATTTATTTTATTTTATTATATGATAAGGAGAGATTAAGAAAATCTCTTGTATCACACAGCAGTTCTCTGTTCTGTCATCATGAAGAACATAAAAGTCATACTAGATTTGAAACTGTTTCTCATTTCTCTTAAAAAAAATTTTTTTTGAGACATTCTTTTTTTTTTTTTTTTTTTTTTTTTGAGACAGAGTCTCACTCTGTCAGCCAGGCTGGAGTGCAGTGGTACAATCTCGGCTCACTGCAACCTCTGTCTCCCGGGTTCAAGTGATTCTCCTGCCTCAGCCTTCCGAGTAGCTGGGATCGCAGCCACGTGCCAACATGCTTAGCTAATTTTTCTATTTTTATTAGAGAAGGAGTATCGCCATGTTGGCCAGGCTGGTCTCAAACACCTGACTTCAAGCGATCATCCCACCTCAGCCTCCCAAAGTGCTGGGATTACAGGCATGAGCCACTGCACCCGGCCCCAAACGTTCTTCTTTTGATGGAACTAGTTCTTTGGCTGCTGACCAAATTAAATGGAGGGGTCTTAGGTTTTAAAAAACTTTCCTATGGCTGCTTCCACATTTAGAGATACAAGCTTTGGTCAGTCATGCTCTTCTTAATTACATAGCTGGTCCAAAGAAGAGAGATATTTTGTCTGAAGGCTTTTTGTCTTTTAAAAACAAAACAAAAAGAGTCTTACTCTGTCACCCAGGCTGGAGTGCAGTGGCACAGCCACGGCTCACCGCAGCCTCAACTTCCTGGGCTCAAGTGATCCTACTATAGTCCCAGCTACACAGGAGGCTGAGGCAGGAGGATCAGTTGAGCCTGAAAAGTTGAGGCTAATTTTATTTTTTGTAGAGATGGGGTTTCACCATGTTGCCCAGGCTGGTCTTGAACTCCTGGGCTCAAGCAATCCGCCCGCCTTGGCATCCCAGACTGCTGGGATTACAGGTGTGAGCCAGTCCACCTGGCCTGAAGCTCTTAGGCTGTGTCCTGATGTGCCTGGGTGTGTCGCCAGCTGCTGCATTTCTGCCTGTCTGCTTTGTCTGGCATCAAGGCTGCGAGTGTTGCAAAGCAGAGCATAGCTTTGTCTTCTAAGAACATTCTCTGGAAATTCAGCTGGTGTCATCCTAACTGGAAAAGGTTTTGGGGTTGTTTTCAATTAAATTTATCTGTTTAATTGATCAAAAACATTGTATGTATTTATCTTGTACAACATGATGCTTTGAAATATACATACATTGTGGAATGGCTAAATCAAGCTAAATAACATATGCATAACTGCACCAATTTATCATTTATTTGTGATGAGACCATTGAAAATCTACTCTTTCAGCAATTTACAAGAATAGAATACACTGTTATTAACTGTAGTCACCACATTGTTCAATAGTGTCTTGAATTGTTTTCCCCGTTTAACGGAAATTTTCTATCTTTTGACCAATATCTCTTCTGCCCACTTCCCCCCACCCCCTGAAGCCCCTGGTAACAATTATTCTACTCTCTACTTCTATGACTTCTCTACTTCTTTTCTAGATTCCACGTATAAGTGAGATCATGCACTGTTTGTCTTTCTGTGCTTGGCTTATTTCACTTAGCATAATGTCCTCTAGGTTCATCCATATTGTCAAAAACGACAGAATTTCTCTTTGAAGGGTGAATAGTATTCCATTATATATATGTACATTATATATACGTTATATATATGCACACTTTTTTTTTGAGACGGAATGTGCACAGGCTGGAGTGCAGTGGCACAATCTCGGCTCACTGCAACCTCAGTTTCCCGGTTCAAGCAATTCTTCTGCCTCAGCCTGTTGAGTAGCTGTGACTATGGACACTCACCACCATGCTCAGCTAATTTTTACATTTTTTTTTTTTAGTGGAGACAGGGTTTCACCATATTGGCCAGGCTGGTCTCGAACTCCTGACATTGTGATCCACCCACCTCAGCCTCCCAAAGTGCTGGGATTACAGGCATGAACCACCGCACTGGGTCCTACACACTTTATTCATTCATTCATTGATGGACACATTAGCCATATCTTGGCTATTGTGAATAATGGTGCATTGAACATTGCGGGGTGGGGCATATGTGTCTTCAGGGTATTGACTTCATTTCCTTTGGATATAGACCTAAAAGTGGAATTGCTAGATCATATGGTAGTTCTACTTTTAATTTTTTGAGGAACCATACTAATTTCCATAATGGTTGTACTAATTTACATTCTCACCGTCAGTATGCAAAGATTCTGTCTTCGCATCCTTCCCGACATGTGGTATCTTCCATCTTTATGATAAAAGCTACTCTTACAGGTGTGAGGCAGTATCTCATTGTGGCTTTAATTTGCATTTCCCTTATGATTGGTGATGCTGAACATAGCTATTGGCCATTTCTTTTCTTTTTTTTTTTTTGAGATGGAATCTTGCTCTGTTGCTAGGCTGGAGTGCAGCGGCACGATCTCAGCTCACTGCAACCTCTGCCTCCTAGGTTCAAGGGGTTCTCCTGCCTCAGCGTCCTGAGTATCTGGGACTACAGGAGTACAGCACCATGCCTCACTAAGTTTTGTATTTTTAGTAGAGATGGGGTTTGGCCATTTGGCCAGGATGGTCTTGATCTCTTGGCCTCGTGATCTGCCCACCTCGGCCTCCCAAAGTGCTGGAATTACAGGCATGAGCCACTGCGCCTGGCTCCTATTGGCCATTTCTATGTCTTCTTTTGAGAAATGTCTCCAGAACCTATATGCATTTTTTAATTGGGTTGTGTTCTGGCTGTTGAGTTGTTTGCATTCTTCACATGTTCTTTGTCAGATGTGTGGTTTACAACTATTTTATCCCATTCCATAGGTCTCTTTACTCTGTTGATTATTTCCATTGTTGTGTAGAGCTTTTGAGTTTTATGTAATTCCATTTGTCTATTTGTGCTTTTGTTGCCTGTGCTTTTGGAGTCATGTACAAAAAAATCATTGTTCAGACCAGTGTAATGGAGCTTTTTCTGTAAGTTGTCTTTTAGTAGTTTTACAGTTTTGGGTCTTACATTTAAGTCTTTAACTCATTTTGAGTTGACTTTTGTGAATGGTGTGAGATGGGGTCTGATTTCATTCTCTGTGGATACCCAATTTTCTAACACCATTTATTTAAGAGGATCTCCTTTCCCCATTGTGTGTTCTTGGCAGCTTTGTCAAAAACTAATTGACCATAAGTGCATGGATTTATGGTTAGGCTCTCTTTTCTGTTGTGCTGGTTTATGTGTTCCTGTTTTTTACGCCAGTATCATGCTGTTTTGGTTCCTATAGCTTTGCGGTATGTTTTGAAGTCAAGTAGAGTGATACCTCAGCTTTGACCTTATTGTTTAAAATTACTTTGGCTATTCAGGGTCTTTTGTGGTTTCGTACAAATTTTAGGATCTTTTTTTTTTCATTTCCGTGAAAAACATCATTGAAATTTTGATAGGGATTCCATTGAATCCATAGACTGCTCAGGATAGTATGGACATTTTAATCATATTAATTCTTCCAATCCATGAACATGGAATCTTTTCATTTACTTGTGTCTTCTTCAGTTTCTTTCATCAATGCTTTACGGTTTTCAGTGTACAGATCTTTCACTTCCTTGGATACATTTATTCCTGAGCATTTGATTTTTTTATGGCTATTGTAGGTGGCATTGCTTTCTTGATTTCATTTTTGAATAGTTTGTTGTCAGCATATGGAAACACTATTGATTTTTGTATATTGATTTTGTATTCTGCAACTTTACTAAATTTGTGTAGTAATTGAAACAGTTTTTTAGTAACATCTCTAGGGTTTTCTATATATAAGACCATGTGTCTGCAAACAGAGACAATTGAACATCTTTTCCAGTTTTGATTCCTTTTATTTATTTTAACAATTTCCAAAATATTTTATTTTTATTTTTTCTTCAACTTCTAAGTTCCAGGGTCCATGTTTAGGATGTGCAGGTTTGTTATAAAGGTAAACGTCTGCTCTGGTGGTTTGCTGCACAGACCAACCCATCACCTAAGTATTAATCCCAGCATTCATTAGCTACTCTTCCCAAGGATGCCTATTCTTTCTGTCTCTTGCCTAAGTGCTCTGGGTAGGACTTGCAGTATTATGTTGAATAGAATTGGTGAGAGTGGGCTTCTTTGCCTTATTCCTGAACAAGTTGTCTGTGGCGATTAACTCACTCTAGTTAGAAACACTTGCTCACCCAGAGTGTGGATTCTCAGACCGGTTGTGAGTTTTATGATGTCTGTTTCACATTTAATGCTTAAATCATAGGGCATACCTAGTCTGAGAATCCATACTCTAGGTGAGGGCTGTTTTTGACTAGAACACATTAAACCCTCCAGACAACTACAGTGGGTCTGCTCAGTAATTTCCACACATGGCTAATTTAATTGTACTGTATGCACTGTCCCGGTAATTAATCTTATCAACCAATTACTTACACCCTGTGTGTCATTTTGAAGCCCAATCTAGTGAACTAGAAAGTAAAATGTTATCTCTTCATTGTCATTTCTTCCATTCTTTCTTGGTTTCCTTTTTTTAAAACCAAGAAGCGTGTGTATTTTAAGATAGAAAGCCTGTACGGGCTTTCATTAACTATTTATTGGTTGATTATTAATTAATCCATGATTTTATTTTACCCATTTCCAGACAGGATTGCACCTACCTCAGCTCAGGTGCAGTTGTTTATCTTGTTCTTTGAGCTATATTATGAATTGTTGTGGCTTTCATTTGGGTGGTGGTGGCAGGGAGCCGTGTGTGCGTGTGTGTGTGTGTGTGTGTGTGTGTGTGTGTGTGTGTGTGCTGTGCTGTTTTAAAATAACGCAAACAAGCAAGATCTATGCTCTATGCAGTGGTTCCATAAAAATAAGTTGGCCAGGCAAGTTGGCTCATGCCTGTAATCCCAACACTTTGGGAGGCTGAGACAGGCAGATCACGAGGTCAGGAGTTTGAGACCAGCCTGGCTAACATGGTGAAACCCTGTCATTACTAAAAATACAAAAAATTTTCCCGGTGTGGTGGCGTCCAGCTGTAATCCCAGCTACTTGGGATTCTCCTGAGGCAGGAGAATTGCTTGAACTTGGGAGACGGAGGTTGCAGTGAGTTGAGATCACACCACTGCACTCCAGCCTGGGCGACAAAGTGAGTCTTCATCTAAAAAATAAATGAACAAATAAAAATAAAAAATAAAATAAGTTATTCTTTCCAGCTCATTTTCTTGCTTTCTGTGTTTATGTTTTTGAGTAGTCTTATTGCACAGATAAAAGAACTGAGGCCTTCCAAGGGGCAGCGATTTACCCAGGGTCACCTGCCTTTTACTGGCCGCAATAGTAACACAAGTAGGTGGCCTGACTCTGTGCCCAGGCTCTCCCGACGCCACATCCTGCCTGCAGGCCGTCCTGGGGTGAAACTTCGTGTTGCAATTTACTGGCCTGCCACATAGTTCCCGCATTCTCTTGGCCAAGCGCTGGCTTAAAAATTAATGACTGCTTAATGGACATTTCTATTTCTGAGAGTTGAGCTGTGCTTTTTCCTTTCTCCTCTGGTAGAAATCTGACATCCAGGACAGCCTCTGCTACAAGACCCGGCTCTACCAGATAGAAAAGTACAGGGCCCCCAAGGAGTCCTACGAGGTGAGTGACCCCCGAAGCAAACCCCAGGGTCTCTTAGGAAGGGTGGATTTCCATTTGCAGTAATTGGTAAAGAAACCAATTACTGTGGGATACTGAAGTAGCAAAAGACACAGACTTATGCTCGTAACTGAGCCCTTGAGAAACAGTTTACAGTGGAACCAGCGTCGCGGCGTCTGAACCATGATTCTCAGCTGTGGTTGTGGCTGCGTGTTAAAGTCACCGGGAGCGTTTAAACATCTGGATGCCCAGGCCGCACCTCAGACCAATTCCATTACATGTGAGGAGGGGAGACTCAGATATTAGTAGTTTTTAAAGCTCCCTGGATGTTCCAATGAACAGCCAAAGTTGAAAACTACTTTCAGGATCTCCCAAAACGAAAATGAGATGTTCAGTGTTTCACTCATCTATGAGTGAAACTAGCAAAAATGGATCTCGTAGAAAGTCAGAGTAAAACTGGTCATTAGAGGCTTGGAATGGCAGGGAGAAGGGAGGGTGGAGAGGGGTTGCGTAACGGACCCGAAATTACAGCTCGACGGAAGGAGTAAGTTCTCGTGTTCGGTGGCACTGTAGGGTGACTATAGTGAGCAATAACTATTGTCATATTCATCAACTCTAACACATATATTGGTCCCAAACACACTATCTAGGCCTTTTCCACGTGGGTATTGGCCCATATTAGGCCTTCTTTTTTTTTTTTTTTTGAGACAGAGTTTCACTCTTGTTACCCAGGCTGGAGTGCAATGGTGTGATCTCGGCTCACTGCAACCTCCGCCTCCTGGGTTCAGGCAATTCTCCTGCCTCAGCCTCCTGAGTAGCTGGGATTATAGGCACGCACCACCGTGCCCGGCTAATTTTTTGTATTTTTAGTAGAGACGGGGTTTCACCATGTTGACCAGGATGGTCTCGATCTGTTGACCTCGTGATCCACCCGCCTCGGACTCCCAGAGTGCTGGGATTACAGGCGTGAGCCACCGTGCCCGGCCTTAGGCCTTCTTAACATTACATAGCACTTATAGTCATTCACCGGACATAGCACATCCAAGTCAAGAAATTTCTCACCAACATGGATATCCCCTACCAACCTCCGAGAAATCATCATCCCACTTGGGCGTGTTACCCTTCTTTCTCTGGGCCCATAACACTTGGGGGTGAAACTATACCTGGCATCTGGTTCTTACCTCACAGCCATAACACAAAGATCGCCCACAGGTTCCCCTTAAATAAGACAGCTAGATGGATCAGTGACTGTCACCCTATTAACCAGTCACAGGAGTATAGAGTAACGTACTTACTGTATATATTCAGAAAGCTAAAAGAGGATTTTGAATATTTGTAACACAAAGAAATGATAAATATTTGAGGTAATAGATATGCCGATTGCCCTGATCCGATCATTACATATTGAATACATGGATGGAAATATCACTCTGTCCCATAAAATAGATGTATAATTATTATGTATCAACTAAAAATAAAAGGGAAAAATGCAAATGCCAGAAAAGAATGAGATGCTTAAAAATAGAGCCGAGTGTAACACGTGGCATCAGAAGAAAGTGAGCTGAGGAACAGGAAAGTTTGGGATGAAGCAGGCTTTCCCGGCCAGCTGTCCCTGGTGACCTGATGTGACCTGGGATATACCTGAGAGAAAAAGACCACGGCCCTTTGATTTCAGAATAAAAACTAGGCTCCTGTGCCAAATTGTCTCAAATTTGGATCCCACACCCATGTTTGTTAGGAGACTGTGCCTGTGAATGCCAGATCCAGGGAGAGGGTCAGCGGTGGGGTCCCAGCTCAGGGCCCCTCATTTACCTTTTGCCAAGTGAGTTCTTCTTTCTCAGTGATTTTCCTGGGAACCTCCTTCCCTTTCCCTTCTGGAGCCCCTTCCATGTCCCCTGAGTGTCCTTGCCACAGGAACCTCTCTCCTGGGACACCCAGGTCTATTAGTCTGTTCTCATGCTGCTAATAAAGACATACCTGAGACTGGGTTATTTATAAAGGAAAGAGGTTTAATAGACTCACAGTTCCACATGGCTGGGGAGGCCTCAAAATCATGGCAGAAGGTGAATGAGGAGCACAGTTACATCTTATGCGGCAGCAGGCTAGAGAGAGCGTGTATGGGGGAACTCCCTTTATAAACCATTAGATCTTGTGAGACTTACTCACTCCAATGAGAACAGTATGGGGAAACTGGCCCCATGATTCAGTTATCTCCAACGGGCCCCGCCCTTAACACATGGGTATTATTACTATTCAAGGTGAGATGTGGGTGGGGACACAGCCAAACCATATCACCCAGAAGTTTTTTCATTTGAGAAGGGATCAAAAAAGGACCCTTTGTTTATGCCCCCATAAGGTCACTGGGCCTGGCCTCTCTCCTCTTTCCTTTTCCGACATAAAGTTTTCATCCTGATCCCATGAGTGGCTCACATCACTCTGGAAGGATCTTCCCTGGGCTTGTCTTGCACGCAGAGCTGCAGTGAGGCATGGTGGTTACCGAGGCCCACACTGGGCTCCCAGGCAGCCAGCTAAGCAGGTGTCCAGGGAGAGCCCAGCTGTCATGACACTATGACAGGGAGGGCCCCCTGCAGGGCCAAGAGAGGGACCCGCCCCCAGCATCGAGGTGGGCAGTGGCATGGGTCTCCATGTCAGACAGACCCTAGGGCAGAGGGAGAGGAGAAACTGGCAAAGACAAGGGCTGGGGGTGGCTGGGCAGGAGGCGAGCAGCCAGGAGTCAGTGATGCCAGGGGGACTTCAGGAACAGAGGAAAGGTCACCCGTGAAATGGTCAGCCGTGTCAACTGAGCCGCTAGTTGGCCTGAGGATGTTAGACAGAACAGCTTCATGAAGCGCCAAAAGCAGAAGAGAGGTGGCATGGTTTTGGGGGGTGGGGAGAGGGCAAGTGAAGTCAGCATCCACCTCTCCATAAGTGACGCTGCAGTGAAGGGAGAGAACGTGAGCTTGACAGAAGGATGCTCGGGGCTGGGGAGGAATGGTGGGGCTTAGCCTGGACCCCAGGCTGCATGCCCTCTTCCTCAAGACACGCTGTGGGACCCGGGGAAGACGAGGATGGAGATAAGCCCTTTGGAAGGTGGGTCTTGATGGCAGGAGCCCAGGTGTGCGGAGAGCCAGGTGTCCCCTGAACTCCAGAACCCTCTGGCCAGTTGCTTACTAAATGTTAACCCCTTTTTACATGAATGAAGGGGTCTCGAATCTAGCACGCTCTGAACAAGACTCTCCCCAGCCCTCCCCCTACCTCCCCTCTCTATGCATAGCAGCCCCATCCTCCCCGCAGTGCAGGGAAGAAAGACAAGTCCTTGTCTTTGACTCCCCGTGACTCCCAGAGCCAACCCATCACCAAGTTCTACCAGTCTGACTGCGAAACCCTCCAACCCCTGCCCTCTCTCCGCCTCCATCCCCACACCTGGTCCCAGCCTCATCACTCTCTCCTGGACCTCGGCTATGCCCTCCTAACTGATCCTCTTGCTTCTGGGATGGTGGCCCACCACTCCCTCCTGCCTGGCCTCCAGAGAGAGCTTTTCAGCCTCACACCGCATCACGTCACTTTCCTGCTTGAAACCTTCGGAGGCTTCCTTCACCTGCTGGGCAGACTCTGCACAGTTGCCCTGGGTGGTTCAGCCCTAGCTGGCTTTGCCGGCCTTGTCCCCCAGTCCCACAGCCCCCACACACACAGTGCTGCATCTGCCCTGTGCTCAGTCCATAGCCTTTGGGCTTGCTGCGCTCTCTCTGCCTGTGGGGGCTGTGTACAGGCCGCTCCCTTTTCCAGAATGTTCTCCCTGCCCCTCTTTGCTAAACCTAAGTGTCTTCAGATCCCAGAGCAAGGGCACCTCCCCACGGGTCCCTGCTGTTCCCTAATCTCTGCCATTTAGTCTCCTGCTGTCTGTCCCATCACTTATCCCATCTGCCTGCCACATTCCACACCCTGGGGCCAGCCCCACTTGCTATTTGATTAACATCTCTCCCTCTGGGCTGTGAATAGAGTCTGAGTCCCTTATGCTCCTCACAATATTCCCAGAGGCCACACGATGCCTGGCATGTAGTAGGCTCAATAAATATTTGCTCAATAAACAAATGGAAAGATCAAATGGGCCCTGACCAGAGTCTCAGAAAATGGATAGGACTGGGACAAGCAACGGAGCAGGTAGAACATTCCAGGTGGGACACCTGGCTGTTTTAAAGGCAGGGGGATTCCTGCAGTGTAGCACACACATGTTATCACCACCACATGGCCATGCCTTATGGCAGGGAGGAGCCTCTTACGGTCACCTGTGCTGAGGCTGGTCACCCGACCCAGAGTCCAAGGGGTGCAGAATTCACTGTTAGAATTCCTGCCTCGTGCTTTGCATGTCACTCACGCGGGTCTCATCCAATAACAACGCAAACTTAGGTGTCTGGAGGGCCCAATGTGTGTGCCCTAGGTGGCCCCTAAGCCACCTTGCCAATGCCCTGGTCCACGCTGACCTCACACCCTCCCCACTGCGACTGTGTGTCGGAAGGGGCCAGATCTCCAGGGGGAAAGGGGTCCTTCTTTCATTCCATTCCTTTTCTGTTTCCTCTGGCCTGAAGGCACATGGTGAGCGTTTTAAACATTTGTTGAAATATTTAGCAGTTAGGATTTAAATAGCAACACCGATGGGCAAACAGCATTTCCTTTTTCTGTGATCCATTTGTTTCCTCTAAACTGCAGTGACACTTCCCTAATTAAATGACAGCTATCAGCTTGTCTCTGGAGGGACCTAGAAAGTGGAGTGGGGCTAGTTTGGGGAAGGACTAAGAAATGGCCCAGGCTTCTCAGAAAAGTCCTCTCGGAGCCAGGGGTGGTGGAGGTGCTTTCCGTCCTCGGTGGGCCTGGGAGAAGCCACCCCAGGGCAGGGGTGGAGCTGAATGGGCACAGGGAATAGTGGAGAGTTAAACCAGGGTATGGCCCAGGGCTCGTATCCCCCAGGGATGTCATCAAGCCGTGTCTGGGCACTGAGTGCACGCAGTGGCCTCTTTGTTCCTTCTGATTCCAGCTCCTTTTCTCCTAGGAGACAAAGGAGCTGAATTCAGTTGCAAAAACTTCCCTATTGGGGTTACCAAGCAGTGATTATACAACTTGACCATTTTCTCTCTTTTTCCTGTCAAAGGCAGAGACTATAAAAGTGGGGTACATTTCTCATCTGAGAACACCCATCGTGTGTGCCCGACAGATTCCTTCCTTCCTTCCTTCCTTTACTCACTCCCTCCTTTTTCTCTTTTCTTTCCCCTTCCTCCCTCTCTTTCTTTCCTTCCCTCCTTCCTTTCCTTCCTTCCCTCTCTTTCCTTTCTTTGTTTCTTTTGGCTTTTCCTTCCTTCCTTCCCTCCCTTTCCTCCCTTCCTTCCTTTTCTTTCTTCCTTTTTTCCTTCCTTCCCTCCCTTCCTCCCTCATTTCTTTCTCTTATTCTCCCCTCCCCTCCCCTTTTTCCTTCCTTTTTCTTTCTTCGTTTCCAGCCCAAGCTGGAGTGCAGTGGCACAATCACATTTCATTTCAGCCTTGACCTCCCCACCTCGGATGATCCTCCCACCTCAGCCTCCCTAGTAGCTGGAACTACAGGCGTGCACCATTACACCCAGCTAATTTTACGTAGAGAGGAGGTTTCACCATGTTGTTCAGGCTGGTCTCGAACTCCTGGGCTCAAGCCATCTGCTTGCTTCCGACTCCCAAGGTGCTGGGATTACAGATGTGAGTCACCCCGCCTGGCCCAAATTTCCACATTTTTAAAGGACACCAGTCATACTGCATTAGGGCTCACCCTAATAACCTCATTTTAACTTGATTACCTCTGTAAAGACTCTCTCCAAATAAGGACAAATTCTGAGGTCCTAGAGTTAGACTGTAACCTATGAATTTTGGGAGAGTACAATTCAACCCACAACAGGGATGAAACATTTAAAGACAAATATTAAAATGTGCACTTTGTGTGTTATTTCAAAATCTATGCAACTTTAAAAAATATGGTTCAGAATCAGATCCAGCAGTCTGTGCTGTTAGGCATCAGAAGTGCAGCTCATGCCTGTAATCCCAGCACTTTGTGAGGCCAAGATGGGTGGATCACTTGAGGTCAGGAGTTCAAGACCAGCCTGACCAACATGGCAAAACCCCGTCTCTACTAAAAATACAAAAATTAGCCTGGATTGGTGGAATGCACCTGTAATCCCAGCTACTCGGGAGGCTGAGGCAGGAGAATTGCTTGAACCCAGGAGGTGGAGATTGCAGTGAGCCGAGGTTGTGCTATTGCACTTCAGCCTTGGTGACAGAGTAAGACTCCATCTCAAAAAAAAAAAAAAAAAAAAAGAGGTGAAGCCTCATTACTTTTGGGGACAGAGTGCCTGGGAGAGGACATGGGTGGCAAGGAGGACCCTCCTGATGCTGGCTGTGTTCTGTTTTTTGATCTGAGTGCCATCTCTGTGGGTGTCTTTGCTGTTTGAGAAAACACTGAGCTGCTGACTTCTCATTAGAGCACTCCTCCCTATGGCGCCTTCGATTTTAATAAAATGTTTACCTAGAAAATCTATTCAGCACACGAGTTAGGACATCTGCTGCCTACTTTCGCGGCAATTTCAGGATTTGCTTTCTGTCTACAAAAACTGAAAGGAATAATTCCCAACCAGAGCTGCAGAGGTGAGGGGGAAGAGTTTAGGGAATAAATAACAGGTGCAGATTCTTGCATTGTTGAAGGATGTTCCTTTTCACAGGCCTCTCTGGACACCTGGACAAGAGACGTTGAATTCCATGCTGTGCAGGTAAGAACTAGGAGAATTATTATGTATTCGTCAGGGTTCTCCAGAGAAAAGAACCAATAGAATACGCAGAGAGAGAGAGACCGGGACTGAGACTTAATTGTGGGGGTTGGCAAGTCTGAAATCTGCAGGGCAGACCAGCAGGCTGGATGAGTTGATGTTGCAGCTTCATGTTTGAAGGCCATCTAGAGGCAGAGTTTCTTTTGCCAGAAGACCTCATTCTTTTTTTCTTAAGGCCTTTGACTGATCGGATGAAACCCACCCACATTATGGAGGATAATCTACTTAAAGTCTACTGATTTAAATGTTAATGACATCTTTGTTTATTTATTGAGATGGAGTTTCGCTCTTGTCGCTCAGGCTGGAGTGCAATGGCGTGATCTCGGCTCACTGCAACCTCTACCTCCCAGGTTAAAGCGATTCTCCTACCTCAGCCTCCCAAATAGCTGGGATTACAGGTGCCCACCACCATGCCTGGCTAGCTTTTGTATTTTTAGTAGAGACAGGGTTTCACCATGTTGGCCAAGCTGGTCTTGAACTCCTGACCACAGGCCATCCACCCACCTCGGTGTCCCAAAGTGCTGGGATTACAGGCGTGAGCCACTGATCCTGGTCTGTTAATCACATCTTTAAAAACACATTCACAGAATCATCTAGATTGGTGTTTGACCAGGCAACTTGCCTAGCCAAGTTGGTGTATGAAATTACCCATCATATATGATTCTAAGGGTTGGTCAGTCTCTGCCCAGGGCAGCAGGCTCTGCCAGCCCTATCCTTATCCAGAATTAAAACCTGAAGAATCCTGTTGTGAGTGGGTTTATCAGAATCCCTTCAGAGCACATTGGTTCTCGCTATGTGGAGGTGACTGTTTTTTATTGTCTTTATTGTGTTGCTACAACTATACACTCTGCTATGCATTTCTGTTTCCACCAGTGTGAGAAATGGGGTTTGCAACTATCTAGAGCTTCCTGGCTCGATGGCCTAATTTATGAATGAAGCCCTCTTTTTTTTTTTTTTTTGAGATGGAGTCTCACTCTATCGTCCAGGCTGGAGTGCAGTGGTGTGATCTTGGCTCACTGTAACCACAGCTTTTCGAGTTCGAGCGATTCTCCTGTCTCAATCTCCTGAGTAGCTGGGACCACAGGCACATGCCACTATGCCCCAGCTAATTGTTGTATTTTTAGTAGAGACGGGGTTTCGCCATATTGGCCAGGCTGGTCTCAAACTCTTGACCTCAAGTGATCTGCCTGCCTTGGCCTCCTAAAGTGCTGGGATTCCAGGGGGGAGCCACTGTGCCTGGCCCAAAGTCTTGTTATTATCAATTCAGTTGTAGGTTCTTCTGCAGCAAAATCAGTTTTCCCCTTATGTGATGGGCAACAAGGAACTAAAGCCAACTAGCCATGACATCTGGGCCCTGGGCCATCCCAGGTGGTAGCAGTTAGCACTTGGTTCTGACATACCAAACAGCTCAGAGAGGCTTACTAATCATCAGAGGGAAGGAAAGCCCATGTGCAGCTGGACTTGATAGAGTTACTCAAAGAAATCTTGCTTCAGCTCCCAGGGTTCCTCTGCCACGTGCGGGAAGAGGCAGATTTCTCAGGCAGCCATCCATCCTCTGGCCTGGGGTGATGAGGATTCGAAGCAAGAGTTGGTCCCTGTTAAATGCTTGCATTTGCTGTTCAGGCAATGAAACAGGTGTGATCTGCGGTCATTATTATCCTCCCAGAGCTGGGAAGGATCCACACTTTTGGTTATATATGGGGAAACACCTCCCTCGAGGAGAAGTGAATTGTCCAAGGTCACCCAACTGCAACATGCTCTCCCACGTTACGGAGAGAGCAAGGAACGGATTACAGGCTTCCGGACTGCCAAGCTATGACCACATAGCTGGGATTCTCAGGTGCAGCACCTATGGCAGCCAAGCTGGGAAAGAAGGGGGCCCTGTGGGTCTTTGGAACACAGAAGCCTGTGGTCATTCTTCAGTGGCCATTACACCCCACTTGCACAGCCAACAGGGAAGACTCCGAAGAGGACCAGCTCTCTGGAGCTCAGCCCTCAGAGGCTGAGGATGGGTTTCCCCCTCCTGTGGCATCTCCATCTCTTCCACAGGACAATACACACTATTAAGGGTCTTGGGTAAACAATTGTTCATGGGGCCGTGTTTTCAAAATGTCTCACTTTGTAAATATCCATGCACATCTGCAGTCGGTGGAAACAGTTGATAGAGAACAAGAAGCTGTTTAGTGTACAGCTTGCCTCTGGGGCCTCATGTGGCCTTTTCTCTGATCTGCCTCTGGGGATTTGGAACTGTGCCATGAAGGTGCAAGAGGATGGACTTCGAACGGAGAGCTTGAATCCCATTGCCCACCCTCAAGTCCACGTGGGTGCTGGAGCATCAGAGGGAAGCCAGGCATCTCTGCAGGCGGCAGCCTTGCTGTGTGCAGAGCTTGCTTGTGGAAGGGGGATGTGATTAGTCCCGCTGAAGAACCGTTTCCGTTATGTAAGGCAATTTAGCATCCTGCTCCCTAGGAAATTTCTTTTGGAGAAATAGGCCATGCAAATGAAAAAGTCTAATTTGGGTGATAGGTTGCGTTTGGTGACATGTGCTTGGAGGGCAGGGAGATTGGCTGGTTGTAAATAAGCTTGCTTTCTCTGGGCTGTTGACCCTTCTGCTTGGAGTGACTCTGAGGTTCTCCCCAGTAGGCAGCAGCTAAGGGTAAATTCTTGATTTCCCCTTAGAAACTGGTTACTATGAAGTCCCTGACTTTCTGCCGAAGAAGGATGTTCTGAGGGTTCTTGGGGACATACCAGGGTATAGATCTTGGGATAAAGTTTAACAAGGGTGGCCTTAGCAGGGTTTCCTGGAACTTTCTGTCTGGGGGTGCATTTTCCCTCTTTTCAGCCTCCATTGCAGCTCTCTGCTCATTGCCAAATACCCGCCTTGTCAGCGACGGGAAATTTGGTCTTTCAGGCCAACCTTGTTCTCTTTCCACACCAAACTCCCACGCATGGACACCACTGGGTGTCCATGGACTCTATCTGGGTAGTGATACTAGTCCCAAGAAGTTTTCATCCTGATCGTTAAGCTTTTGAGAACCCAAGGAGGGTTAGAAAGGAATGAAAACGGACCGGGAGCAGTGGCTCATGCCTGGAATCCCAGCACTCTGGGAGGCCGAGGCAGGCAGATCGCGAAGTCAGGAGTTCAAGACCAGCCTGACAAACATGGTGAAACCCTGTCTCTACTAAAAATACAAAAATTAGCTGGGCATAGTGGGGCATGTCTGTAATCCCAGCTACTCAGGAAGCTGAGGCAGGAGACTCGCTTGAACCCAGAGGCAGAGGTTGCAGTGAGCTGAGATCACGCCACTGCACTCCAGCCTGGGCGACAAAGCAAGACTCCATCTCAAAACACACAGACACACAGACATACACACACACACACACACACACACACACACACGCGCGCGCACGCGCGCAAAAGGAATGAAAGCAAACCTAGGCAGCCACCAGCAGCTCTCAAGACTTGGGGACCACAGAGCAGCCTGAAAAAGCATTTGCTGATCGATTTAAAAAGCAATCTTCACACGGAAGACGGCAGTGTTGTCCTTTCTACCAGATACCATTTGGAAATGTATGACAAAGGTGCATTTGACTACTTTTTCCTGTAGAAAGTGTCAGCAGGTAGAGCTGGTGACTTTTGCATAAAAATAGAGAAAGAGGGAACCAAGCAAAAGGAGATTCTGCCAGATTTTTCAGGAAAGCCGGTAATGTTGCCTTTGATGCTGGATGGGTGTGTGTCTCTGGGTGTGGGAGCGTGTGTGTGAAAGCTTGTTCTCCTTTGCCTTAGAGAAGGTGGCCTGTTGGTGTGTCATGGACACAAAGGGAGAGGGAAGCTGTGGAAAATGATGATTGTCCTTTGCTGGCTTCAACCGAGGTGACCTGGAGCACACGGTCCCCTTCATGGCATTCCAGATCACACCCTGGAGCACGTGCCTTTCTCTGGAACATTTGGATCCCACTGGGGGAGCTTAGGACAGTGGCACGGTCCTGCCTCTGGGCCTTTTTACCCCTGGAATTGCCTGACCCTGCCCCAGGCTCTGAGAGTGTGGTGTCCAGTCAAGGATTGACAACATTGACTTCAGGGCCATGAAAATCCAAGTTTCCACAGGCTCATAGGTGGATTACGTAAGCACTGCAGGCTGTTTCTTCCCGTGGAAAGGAGGTAGCGGAATTTGCCTTGTGGTGGGTCATGCCCTCAGGGCATCATCTAGCACCCTGTGTGTTTTCAAAAAAAGCTGGTGGCAGCTGTGAAGATGCTGAGCAGGGAGTCTGAGGAAGCTTCGCCTCTCCTTTGTTGGGGAGGAGCCACATCGGCTACAGGCCAGACCCCCAGGGAGCTGTAGCCCCTCCCACGGACACTTGTGAAACGGCTCAGCGTCCCCACTTCTCACAGCTGTCTTCTTTCCCACGCAAACACTGGACATCATGAACTTTAACCTGCAAAGACTTTGAACAGCCATATTAGAAAGGGCTCTAAAACTGCAAAGAGATGTTTCCTTGAGAAGCTTCTCAACATGAATGAAAAATAGATGAGCTCTCTTGGTTTGCAAATGCTCTTAAAGTTGAGGGCAGAAATGTGAAAAAGAAAAGTCTTTTTTTCCTCCTCACCCACAGCGAGGTCAGAGGTGCAGTTGCTTTAACAGTAAACACCAAACACAGGCTTTCGGGCTGGAAAAGAATTTCTTAGTGACATCACCCTTCCCAGAAGCTTGAACTGAATTAATTTTAATTCAGTTCATTTTCTACCAGCCCTTTTAAAAAGCACTTCAATAACTATTTATTAAGCTTTCTCTAAGCATCTAGCTTTATGCCATAGGCTGTGGGCTTGAAGATATATAAAACAGTCAAATTCATTCTCATCAGCTGGATTATAATCTAGTACAACAAAAGGCAAGATTTATGCCGAAACAATGGCCACTGCCAAACGTTTTGGCTCACATCTGTAATCCCAGTACTTTGGGAAGCTGAGACAGGAGGGTTGCTTGAGACATGAGTTCGAAACCAGAACTCATGAGGCATGAGTTCGAACCAGAGGCATGATTTCTCTACAAGAAATCTTTTTTTTTTTTTTTTTTCTTTTTGAGACAGAGTTTCGTTCTTGTTGCCCAGGCTGGAGTACAATGGCATGATCTTGGTTCACTGCAACGTCTGCCTCCTGGGTTCAAGTGATTCCCCTGCCTCAGCTTCCCAAGTAGCTGGGATTACAGGCATGTGCCACCATGCCTGGCTAATTTTGTATTTTTAGTAGAGACAGAGTTTCTCCATGTTGGTCAGGCTGGTCTTGAATTCCCAACCTCAGGTGATCCATCCGCCTCAGCCTCCCAAAGTGCTGGGATTACAGGTATGAGCCACTGCACTCGGCAAGAAATCTTTTTAAAAAAATAGTTGGGCATGGTGGTGCACACCTGTGGTCCCAGTTACTCAGGAGGCTGAGGTGGGAGGATCACCCGAGCCCAGGAACTCGAGGTTGCAGTGAGATATGATGACACCACTGCATCCCATTCTGGGTGACAGCACAAGACTCTGTCTCACACACACAAAGAAGGCTGCTTACACATGGGTCCTAAGTACCCAAGTGAGTGCTCACGTGATTAGGGGACAAAGGGCCAGAAGCCCATCTGGACCACTTGGGGCTCTCTGGATTTGTTGTCCGTGTTGTGTTGGCACCTCCTTGGCTTGAATGCCCCAAATAGAACCTGACATGAAGGTGGAAGTAGCTATGTTTCCAGTCATCTTTGCAAAACCATTACTGGAGGCACGATCTTTGGGCTCCACTTTGAATGCACACAGTAGGTTCCCAGAAGTCCTGCTCTGCTTCACCTTCGTTCATTGGGCTTGTTCCAGAATAATTGACCTCCTAGGAATGCCTTGCCCTTGCTGGAAAGCCTTGAAAGAGGACAGTACAAGGGAGCTAGGGTCAATTGAAGGCCACTCGCTACCCAGGTAGAGGGAGATGGATTTCCTGGAGCATCGGCTGGGCCACAGCTCCTCCCTCATTCAACGCACAGTTGACAGCATAGAGGATTGAAAAGCTGGAGTTTCTCTAATCAGTTTGGATGACTTTTCAAAGAGAATCTCATTGTATCTTCCAGTGCATGTCTAAATGCATATGTTTGCTTCCAATTTGCAGGATAAGAAGCCCAAAGAGCAAGAAAAAAGAGGGGATTTTCTTCATCGACCATTCTCCAAGAAGCTGGACAAGAACCTGCCCTCACACAAGCAGCCCTCAGCCTCGCTCATGACACAGCTTCACAACACCAAAGCCCTGCTGAAGGACCGGAAGGCCTCCAAGGCCAGCTTCCCTGACAAAGGTGGGTCAGCTCTGGGGACTCTCTCAGGCCACTCCTGTTGGGCTGTGTGTCTGCTGTGTACCCTTCACAGGGGAGGGCAGTATGAGCCTTAGAGCACAGACGATTCCCGTGGCCCCAGAAAAGCAGGATTCATGGACCTGAGGTTGCCTGAGCACAGTCTGGGACCCAGCTGTGTGGCATTAGCCACCTGTGCAGGAAGGATTTGAGAAAACAGAGACGGGGTACGTGGTATTATGGAGACAGAAATCGGGGTGGATAATATCGTCAGAACAGAGGTTGGGAGGCACAGGATCGCAGGAACAGAGATCAGGGTATGTGTTACTATAGGGGCAGAGACGAAGAATGGTGGGAGTAGAGATGAGGTGCAGGAGCAGAGACCGGGTATCTCCCTGATAGTATTTGGCGTCTTCCCTAGAAAAGAGGACCCTGTGAAGCACTGCAATGTGATTGAATCTGGGGTGGAAGTAGCATGCTCAGACCTGAGTTCAAATCCCAGCTCTACAGCCTGCAGAAGTCCAAGATCCTTCACTGCTGAGGATCTTTGCTGGCTCTCTTAGTTACTTGTAAGGGCTCCTACCTGTCAGAGCTGTGGATGAGATTGATGCATATATAAGCTTCCCCACCTGAGTCAGACGCAGCTCATCACAGAGAACTGACAAATGAGTTTCTCTCCCACGAGAGCTGAAAGACGCAAAAAGGAGACCTTACTGGACACAGGCTTAACATGGTAGAAATGCCGAGAGGGCACACAGGAGCTGGGAGCATCCTGAAGCCGAGCCATGAGGTAGAGGAGAGGTTCTTATTACTGAGGGGGGATGAGACACATCCTAGAGTTCAGTCTCCTTAAACATGAAGAAGTAGGTTCAGAGAGGGCTGTGGCTGTCTGAGATACACTCAGGCGTAGTGGGCAGTTAGTCCCTGCATGGGACTTGAACCCGGCTCCTGTCCTCCTACCTCCCGTGCTGCTCCCAGAGAGAGGCCACTGTCCCCACATGGCCCAAAGCAACCTGCTTTCCTTGGAGCAGAGCACAGCGGATCAGGGCGGGGGCAGCAGTGTCCACGTGGCAGCTGGAGCATTGGAGACCTTGGCCATTAATGAAGTTGTACTCTTTTCCACTGATGCATCTCTGGCGCCTATTTCATTTTGGCGCCTACGTGTTTATTGACGCAAGGCAGGGAGGCTTCCCAGTGCCCTCAACTGCTCCCAAAATCGATCCCAGCGGGCAGCAGCTTGCTTCTGCAGCTGGGCTGCCACAGAGCCTATAAAACGTTATGGGAGAAGAAAGAAGCTAAGCCAGAGCTCATTCCGCATGAACTTGGCTTTATTGCCCTCATCTCTAAATCCGTAGGGGGTTTCCCCTTTCTTTTCTGGCCCAGTTTGCAAACCTGGATTCTAGTCTATGCCAACCGGAGACAGAAACTGCGGGGATCTGGCAGGTTGCCTTAACTATATGGAGGATGCTGTTCTACCCCCGTTCAGAATTGGGTGAGGCTCCACCCAGATTAAAAGTGATGAGAGAGCCTTAAAAGGGAAGGAAATCCTGACATATGCTTCAACACAGATGAACCTGGAGGACATTATGCTAAGTGAATTACGCCAGTCACAAAAAGCAGATACTGTGTGATTCTACTTGTATGAGGTCCCTAGAGTGGTTGGATTCATAGAGGCAGGCAGTAAAATGGTGGTTGCCGGGGGTTTCAGAGAGTGGGGCTATATATAGGGTGTTAGATTTGCAACAGGAAGACAGTTCTGGAGACTGACTCCACAACAGTATGAATATACTTATCACTGCCGAGCTGCACGCTTGAAAATGGTTAAGACGATAACATTTCTGTTACGTGTTTTTTACCACAATAAATAAAAATTTAAAAGTCACGAGGGAAGCACTCGTTCCAGTGTGGGCTGTCCGAGGACCAGATTGGCAGGAGTTCAGTCAGGGGAGCTTGATGTGCTTCTGGGAGTTTTATGGATGTGCCGTTGAGTACATGTACCTTTTTTATTCCAAGATCCTTTGGCAAGGTCCAGATTTTTTTTTCTTTTTTTTTTGAGACAGAGTCTCACTCTGTCACTCAGTCTGGAGTGCAGCAGAGCCATCGCAGCTCACTGCAACCTCCACTTCCCAGGCTCAAGTGGATAATATTTTTTTTGAGATGGAGTCTTGCTCTGTGGCCCAGACTGGAGTGCAGTGGGACAATCTTGGCTCACTGTAACCTCCGCCTCCCACATTCAAGCGATTCTCTTGCCTCATCCTCCCAAGTAGCTGGGACTACAGGTGGGCGCCACTACACCCAGCTAATTTTCATATTTTTAGTAGATACAGCGTTTCACTGTGTTGGCCAGGCTGGTCTCAATCTCTTGACCTTGTGATCCTCCAGTCTCGTCCTCCCAAAGTGCTGGGATTACAGGCGTGAGCCACTGCACAAGCCCTAATGTTTTAAAAATTTTTTAGAGACTGGGTCTTGCCATATTGTCCAGGCTGGTCTTGAACTACTGGGCTCAAGCAGTCCTCCCACCTTGACCTCCCAAAGTGCTGGAATTACGGGCGTGAGCCACCGCTGCCTAGAGTCCAGAATTTTAAGCAACCCAAAGCAGGGAGGATGTTGGGCGAGAGCCACGAGGCAAACTGGAATCCTCCTGTCACCAGACCCCTGTCCCTCCATCCTAGAAAGACTGCCCAGCCTCTGTGGGGGAAGTGACACACTGCTGGTGACATCTTGCAAAGTTGCCAAGGCCGTTTGTTGGTTGCTTTCTTCTGACCTTGGCAGGGAACTGTCTCTGTCAAGCTGGATGTCAGAGCAGGCGGGAGAAGGGCTGTGAGCACTGTCCAGGCGTCCTGATGATTTTTTTGCACTTTCTTGGTGTGCAGATTCCTTCGGCTGCCGCAATATTTTCCGCAAAGCCTCTGATTCCAACTGTGTGGCTTCTTCTTCCATGGAGTTCATCCCCGTCCCGCCGCCCAGGACCCCGAGGATTGTGAAGAAACCAGAGCCCCATCAGCCAGGGCCTGGAAGCACCGGCATCTCCCACAAGGAAGAACCCCTGATGCTGGAGATGGTGCGCTCCTTCGAGTCTGTCGATCGCGACGACCACATAGAAATGCTGTCTCCCTCTCATCACTACAGGATTCTGAGCTCCCCGGTGAGCCTGGCTCGCAGGAATTCCAGCGAGAGGACACTGTCCCCGGGTCTGCCGTCTGGAGGCATGTCACCTCTCCACACTCCTTTGCATCCCACTGTGGTCTCTTTTGCTCATGAAGATAAGAACAGCCCCCCTAAAGAGGAGGGCCTGTGTTCCCCACCTCCGGTTCCCAGCAGTGGCCCCATGCAGCCTCTGGGGAGCCCGAATTGTGTGAAAAGCCGAGGCCGGTTCCCCATGATGGGCATCGGACAGATGCTGAGGAAGCGACATCAGAGCCTGCAGCCATCCATGGATAGGCCCCTGGAGGCCAGCCTGCCCCCGCTGCAGCCCCTAGCCTCCGTGAACCTTGCCTTCGACATGGCCGATGGGGTCAAGACCCAGTGCTAACTTGGGCCAGCGGGATTTGGGGTATTGTAGAAAACAGCAACGGAACAGAGCTCCACACATCTGTCAGGGTGTGACATTCCAAGTCTTCGCATGGAGCATCCTTAGTGACCCGTTGGTTCCTGCCACACAGCATCCCACCTGTAGCTGAATCCACAGACCCAAGGCCTGCACCACCCAACCTTGCTTAGGGACCCCCAGAGATGCTGGAATCACCAGGAGGGTTGGCTCCAGGGGCAGCCAATTCCAGTCCTTCAGATCTTCCTTCCTCCCAACCACTCACCAACCCCTTCTAGTTCCCACTTCTGGGCTTGGGGGAAAAATGGGGCATCAGCCTTCTGGGGCACTCAGATAATGGACTGTTACCAGATCTTTCTTCACACTGTGCTACCTGTGTGCCTCTCACAGCAGTCGGCCACAGTCACAGGGAGAGAACAACATCACAGTCATTCATCCAGGCCGAGTTTCCTCTGCGGAGTACAGCAGCCCTGCCTTTCATAGCAGGGATTCCCTGAAGGCCAGCAGGAGCTGGGGGCAGGCCCAGGATACTCAGAGGAAGATGGGGAGGAGCTTCGGACAAAGATCAAACATTGGGGACCTCGACAGAAGAGAAAGACTGAAGGAGACACTCATTTCCCAAGCAAGATTTTGATAGATTCTTTTTTTTTGGTTGAAACATGTTAATGATTGAATTACCTTTTCCAAAGAGATTTTTTTTTTAATATGATGTTGGTAAATTGAAATAACATAAAAACTTGGATGGAGAGATGAGAAGCAATTCCACCAAACTCATGTTTTCACTAGAAGGTTCAGTGTGGAGGGCAAAAGAGCTGTCTGTCGTGATGTGCTTAGTGGCATGGCCCATGGGCAGGGCACGATCTCCGTGGTCCTGCATTCATCCTGTTGTTAAGGCATAGCCCTGATCCTTCTGGAAGGCATAGAACACGGTTATGGCTGGTTCTGTCGAAAGAGAGAAAAGATAATTGTGATAATTCAGAGCATAATTCGGATGGCAAGAAGGCAGCATGACCTCTGTGCGGTGTGGATTTCAAGCTGCCCAGAGAACAAGTGTGGCTCAGAACTCAGCGAGTTTGCTGGAAGCAGGGAGCCGGCTTGCCTGGCAAAGAACCTGTTCAGATACAGGACAGTTTCTTCTTCGGGGAAAGCTGAGCTCCTCAAACAGGGCTCAATCCACGTTGTGTGTTCACACCTTTCTCCAAGGATCGAACCAAAGATGCGTCTCCAGTGTTGTGTCTGTGCCCCCCATGTGTGCGTTTTGTGGGGCCCCGTGCTGTCTGACTGTGTCCAGCTGGCACTTGGCAGGGTGCGCTCGGTTGTGAGCAGAATCAGAAAAGAAGAATCAGCACAGGTTGGATAGGGGTTAATGTAGGAGACTGGTTACAGAAAGGCCTGGAGTCTTCAACTTTTGACCTGTGCAGGTGTGATCAGAGACCACCTCTGTGGCCACCTTAGGTGGTCATCTCAGTCCATGGATCCCAAAACAAATCTAGAATTGCAAAGCCAGTCTTTGTGTCCCTGGCAGGCAGCCTTGCCAGAGGGTAGAGAGGTAGTTCAGAAACATTCTCTCATTCACCAGTGGGGACGTCCCTTAGTCCCCCCATCTCTGATGGAGCAGGAGAGAATGGATATTTGGCCAACCTTGGCAAGACCTGGAGCTGCCTCTTTCCTCCCTAAGGGATCACCCTAGTGTTAGGGCATTCTAGGATGAGGTCAGACCCCTTAGCTATTGGTGGTGTTTTTTGTGTAGCTTCAGACTGGGTTCCAGAACTTACCATTGAAAATAGAGCTTTTAGGCCAGGCGTGCTGGCTCACACCTGTAATCCTAGCACTTTGGGATCCCAAAGCTCAGGAGTTCGAGACCAGCCTGGGCAACATGGCAAAGGCCTGTCTCTACAAAAAATAAAATAAATAAATTAGCTGGTGTGGTGGCACATGCCTGTAGTTCCAGCTACTTGAGGGCGCTGAAGTGGGATGATCCCTTGAACCCAGGAGGTCGAGGCCGCAGTGAGCCAAGATCATGCTACTGCACTCCAGCCTGCGTGGCAAAGTGAGACCCTGTCTCCAGAAAAAGAAAATAGAGCTTTTTAAGCAGGGAGAAGAAAAGAATAATATAAGACCGTCTCTCCATTTGACATGAAGTGTACCTTTTCTAATGACGGTTTCCAGCCACTCTACTCTGCAAGTTCGCAGGGCATGCACTGGTGCATTGGGAACTTTCTGGAGCCCCTGATGCCTTTTCCTCACATTATACTTTCCTCAAGAAACAGGAGTGCTTCCGCCTTGCCATTAGCTGGTGGAAAACGTGCTTCTCATTCCCGGCATGCTTCAAGAACAGCTGCAGTTGTTCCGCTAATGACCGCATTGCCATTGGTCACCTGGACTCTGAACTCAGGTTTATTCTAAACCCAGTGAGAGGTGAGGGGGAGTGAGGAAAGGGATCCACTGTATTTTGTGTGTGTGTGAGCACCTGACAAATCTATGAAACTGAGTGAAAGGAGAAATGCTAGATTCTTTATGATTTTATTATATTTATATGGAAAATCTGACTCCGTTTTTGGTAAGTCCGAAGCGTGTTGTCTGTCCGACCGTGACTGCCTTCCTCAGTCTGTGCCTGTGATTCCGGTCACCTTGTAGTTACTGATGGAAATTGACGGGACTGTCGTCATGTGATGTCCAGGAGGAAAAGTCCATTTTAATTGTATGATTTGGTCATAAGTAAGGACTATATTTATGTCACCATTAGTAGATATATGTACTTTTGTAATGACTGTGAAATACACTTTTCCCTCACTATGACTGTTGCTTTATTTCCTGATAAATCTTAAAACATCTAAGTACATTGTGAATAATAGTACAGGTACCATCTTTTATGTGGAGTTCTTTTTGCTCTGTCACCCAGGCTGGAGTGCAATGACCGATCCCTGTTCACTGCAGCCTCAGCCTCTCCAGATTCAAGTGATCCTTGATCTCAGCCTCCCAAGTAGTTGGGACTACAGTTGCACACCACAATGCCTAGCTAATTTTCTTTGTAGTTTGTGGAAACAGGGTTTCGCCATGTTGCTCAGGCTGGTCTCAAACTCCTGGGCTCAAGCGATCTGCCTGCCTTGGCCTCCCAAAGTGCTGAGATTATAGGCATGAGCCACTGCACCTGACCTTATGTAAAGCTCTTGACCTAGCATCTGACTGGAAACAAGCAGGAATGGCATTATGGGGCATTTGGGGGCATTTTCTGGGCCAGTATCCCTTCCTTATTTTACCTGCAACAGGTGTGCCTACGAAATTCTATCTGACATACATACTACAGGTGGCAATTAAGATGAATCAGCCTTTTTCATTTGGGCGGATTAAGATCTTCCGTGGAGACTCTGAAAACGGCACACAGAGGATGACAGTTATGAACTTCACTTCTAGATTTTGTCCTTGTAGTAGGCCTCGGTCATGGATAGGGGAAGAGGGATGACGAGATGGAATGGGAGGCTGGGGTCTGGATGATCTCTTGAGATTGTCCCAGTTACTGCTTCATTCATAAGGATTCACAAAACATTTTTCATATATACACCTGGCTTTAACCCTTGTTTCCTCCTGGACAGTGAGGGGACAAAGCCTTAGTGGGTCCCATAGCTAGAAAGTGGAGAGGCTCACTGTTCACTGCACGGTGTTCTCAGTAGTTGGATTCCAGGGGAAAAGAACAAGTATCTAGTTTTGATGACAGTGTTTTCTTTTAAGAATCACATTTTAGAATAGAAAGGGACCTGAGATTCTCTGGCTCAGCCCCAGCCTTTTTGAAGAAGGGAAAACTGGGGCCCCAGGTGGCTTAAGGACACCCCAGAGTCTCCAAATGAGCTGGCATTAGAGCTGATCTGGAGCAGAGTTTCTTCCTCAAAGAACACAGAGAAAGCAGAGAGTGGCTGCCATGGTCAGAGGGGGACGTCAGCAGCAGATTGAGTTGCCACTGCAACAGGTGTTTTTGAAGTTCCCGCAAGGACCAGGTCTTGCATTTGTTTTTTTAGACTTAGTCTCACTCTCTTGCCCAGGCTGAGGTGCAGTGGCGAGATCTTGGCTCACTGCAACCTCTGCCTCCTGGGTTCAAGCAATTCTCCTGCCTCAGCCTCCGGAGTAGCTGGGATTACAGGCGCCTGCCACCACACCTGGCTAATTTCTGTATTTTTAGTAGAGATGGAGTTTCTTCATGTTGGTCAGCCTGGTCTCAAACTCCTGATCTCAGGTGATCCACCCACCTCAGCCTCCCAAAGTGCTGGGATTACAGGTGTGAGCCACTGTGTCTGGCATATTTTTAAGTCTTTTTCAAAACTGTGCAGCTTCCTGAGCCTTATGCTCTTTGTCCCACCCACTCTTGAAGCTGGAGAAAGACAGCTTTCTTTGGGAACTTGGTCTTTCTCAGTCGACTTCCCAAGTAAGCAGCAAACCCCTCGATAGCCTTGTTATCTACTTCAGCTATTAGGCTGTTGGGTTTTACTAGATTAAATCAATAAAACATTTCCTATAGAGCCATATCATAAATTGAAGTAAATTCAGAAAGAATGCCAAACTGCTATCTTTTAGGGGGAGTCTGGAAGGCTGTTGGTTATGGGATTTGTTTTCTTTGTAGGGTCTTCTGTGTGCTATAGGCACAGTAGGAATAATTCAGAGCAGTACTGGGAGTTGGTTCCATTTCATGTCATCACTTCTCAATGAAGGGAGTGTATTTCCTGAGTAGTAAATGAATATATTATTTGTGTCAAGGGAGCTTTCCAGACATCTGGTTCCAAAGACAAATGGGGTATATATTTGTACTTCTTCTCTGTGGACATGTGTTTGTGACACACAGTTATCTCTAGGAGTTGATGTCTGTGGGCACTAAGGGACTGAGAATGGGGGGAGAGTGCTGAGGAGGCTTTGGAAGAGAAGGTGAGGGACATTTCAGGCTTTGCAGTCCCCCTCCACAGGTATCCACATCTGAGCTGGTGGTGTTCCGATAATGAAGCATTTGGGGGCAACCAATTCTGTAAGCATAGAATAGCTTTATGTGGAGCAAACTCAAGGATCAATTGGAGTTAAGCTGTATCATTTACAGGTGAAAGAAATTAATGGATCTGACTACAGGGACCAAGCTATTTGTATCTCCTACTTGGAAGATGGGCCATTGGCTATTCTGAAAGCAAAGGCTTTGGTTTACATTTAAACTTTATAATTTTTTTCAAATGTGTTCTTTCTAGTCCTGTTACCATAGCCAGCTGGAAAGGGCACATTGCAAGCCTATACTGGGAACAAGGCTTCGTGCCGAAAGTAGGGCAGTGACATTCTTGGCAGGTCTGAGCAAGAATGCCTTGCATGACTTCTTCATCAGTGTTCAGTGCTCACCTCCTCTGGCAACCAGTGAGCTAGACCGATTTGGCTTTGCTGTGATCACAAATTAAACTCCAAATCTCTGTGACTTACCCAATACAGGCTTATTTCTTACAATATTTTTATGAGGCTGGGCTGACTTCAAAATGGCTGTGTTCCATGTGGTGACTCAGGGATCCAGGCTACATCCAGTTTGTGGCTCTGTCCACTCGAAATGGAATGTCTTTGGCTGCTCCAGCACAGGGGGGCATAGCTACAGAGTTTTTCACCAGCCCTTAAGTGCTACTTTTTTTTGTTTTGTTTTTTGAGATGGAGTTTCGCTCTTGTTACCCAGACTGGAGTGCAATGGTGCAATCTCGGCTCACTGCAACCTCCGCCTCCTGGGTTCAGGCAATTCTCCTGCCTTAGCCTCCTGAGTAGCTGGGATTACAGGCATGCGCCACCATGCCCAGCTAATTTTTTGTATTTTTAATAGAGATGGGGTTTCACCATGTTGACCAGGATGCTCTTGATCTCTTGACCTCGTGATCCACCCGCCTCGACCTCCCAAAGTATTGGGATTACAGGCGTGAGCCACCACACTCAGCCCTTAAGTGCTCTTTAAGGGGGCTCATCACTTCTCCCATAACCCATTGGCTGGAACTGGTCATACTGCCTTGCCTACAAGCAAGAGGCTGGGAAATGTGGGAGAACAGGGCTACTTGGGTTGCTGTTAATATTTCTCCCACCTCAGGGAAGGTAAGGCTGCCTGCCATTTATTTGTTCTTTGTTTTTGTTTTTGCTTTTGTTTTGAGACTAAAAGTCTCCCTCTGTCACCCAGGCTAGAATACAGTGGTGCAATCTTGGCTCACTGCAACCTCCACCTCCTGGGTTAAAGCGATTCTTATGCCTCAGCCTCCTGAGTACCTGGGACTACAGGCATATGTCACCATGCCCAACTAATATTTGCATTTTTCGTAGAGGTAGGGGTTTCACCATGTTGGCCAGGCTGGTCTCAAACTCCTGACCTCAAGTGATCCACCTGCCTCGGCCTCCCAAAGTGCCAGAATTACAGGCATGAACTACCATGCCCAGCCAAGATGCCTGCTATTTAAAAGTACTCTAGAACCTGACTAGCCTTTTCCAATTTTACACAATTATAGCACCTCTTACTAAGAGTTACTTTTTTAAAAAAATAAAAGAATTAGCATTGGTAAATGTTAATATTTAAGGAGAGTGTTTTGGGCTGAATTCTTTCCCCCACAAATTAATATGTTGAAACCCTCAGCCCCAGTGCCTCAGAATGTGACTACTTGGAGATAGGGCGTTTAAAGAGGTAAGTTAAAATGAGGCCATCAGGGAGGAACCTAATCCAATCTGACAAGTACCCTTATAAAAATGTGAGATCTAGACACATAATGGGACATCAGATGGAGGAAAGACCAGGTGAGGACACAGGGAGAAGGCAGCCTCGGGAGTGAAACCTCAAGATGAGCCAACCCTACCAACGCCTCGATCTCAGACTTCCATCCTCCAGAACTGGGAGGAGATAAATGCCTGTTGCTTAGTCCCCAGTTGCCCAAGCCAACTAACATGGGGAAAAGGTCAGAAAGTAATATTTACATCTTCTAGGAATCTCACATGTTTTACCCATGTGCCAAATTTCCATTTATTGTTTTCTGACTAAATCATCCCCAGAAAATTTCTCTTTTTTGGAGTGAAATTCCACCTTTTCTTTTTCCTTTTTTTTAATTTTTATTTTTTTAGAGACAGAGTTTCACTCTGTCACCCAGGCTGGAGTGCAGTGGTGTGATCTCAGCTCACTGCAACCTCCGCCTCCTGGGTTCAAGTGATTCTCCTGCCTCAGCCTCCCAAGTAGCTGGGATTACAGACACATGCCGCCATGCCCGTCTAATTTTTTGTATTTTAGTAGAGACTGGGTTTCATCCTGTTGCCCAGGCTGGTCTCGAACTCCTGAGCTCAGGCAGTCCATCTGCCTCGGCCTCCCAAAGTGTTAGGATTACAAGCGTGAGCCACCATGCCCAGCCTGAAATTCCACCTTTTCTAAGTGTTTCCTATGTGTTAAGCTCAGTGTGCCCGTTATTTTCAAGTTTCTTTCTTCCTTTAATCCAGAGGTCTGCAAACTCCCTCTGTTAAGAACCAGATAATAAATTTTAGGCTTAGCAGATGCCTGTTATACATCAGTCTGTTGCATTTGACTCTTCGCATTGTTTGTAAGTATAGTTTTCGTTTTTGTTACAACCCTGTAAAAATACGGAAACCATTCTTATCTGCTGGACCTACAAAAACAGGTCATATCAGATTTTGGTCCTCAGGTAGTTATTTTGCTAACCCCTGATTTAATCTTCACAAAAACTCCCTGAAGTCTCATATTTTCTCTATTCAATAGATTAGTTTTGTGGGGATTTTTGTTTTTAATATTTTTTTGCTTTTTGAGACAGAGTCTC